ATCAAAGGTGGATATACGACACAAGGATCTGCCAACAGCCCAGTCTGTTTATATATTTTATGTGAGCTATGCCCCTTTTACATAGAAATGGATCCTTTTTTATAAACTACCACTGGAAATAACTTCATTTTAACAGTACCATTTGGCTTAGTAATTGTATGCTTACATAGCTTACCCTGTAGACTTGTACGTACCCATAGAAGAGGAACTCAGTGAAAAAGAAGGACGAAAGAAATCCCAAACAAAACCAAAGCTCATCGGCTTGTTTTGCCTGTGATTCACACGACCCCCCCCCCGGCGGCGCCCCCGTCTCTCTGTTAAATGATTACAATCAGTGGCACATTTGCCCTTCAATGATGCCACACCTAATATATTGACCGGAGAGATTGAAATAACCCGATAACGGAAACCCTGCCCTCTCACACTATACACTGGACTGGTGAGCCGTTCTCATAATGGCCTCCTTTGTTTCAACATTTGATCTCTAACTGCTTTTATGTGTCAGTGGTAATGACGTATGCTGCATCCAAACTGTGATTATTAATCCTAGTGACATCATTTTGCTTCTTCTTCTTTTTTTCTTCCTCGCTTCCACCCTTCTTCATCCCTTGTTCTTCTAATGTGAATATGCTAACTCACAGATGGTCTTAACATGGGGTTTGGTCCTTTTATCTCTCTTTGCATTTGCTCCCATGCATCAGCATCTGTATTTTGTATATTTTTGTATTGATTTTTTCTTACCTGTAACAGACTGTAAACATCAAGTGTGAGGCTCCGCATGCTTCACCTCGCTCTCGAGCCAATGGTAGCTTCACCGTTTGTTTTTGTTTTTTTGTTGCCAATTCGAAGGTGATGACGACAATGATGAATGCTTTGCTGCAGACATATACAGTAAATATATGATAACCGAGTGCATCGTGAGGCTGGACAGCCTGGGAACGTGTAAATAAAATGCACACACTATTTTTACCTAATGTTAACAGAGCTTTTTTGTAAATGTATCTTGTGCTCAAACTCTGCTGTATCTATGGATATTGTAAATACAAAATAGCTCAGTCGGTCATCTGTCCTCATGGGGTAGAACTATACAATTTAAATTAACCTTCAGTGTTTAGAGCTATTGTTTTTGTATTTAGAGTGTAATATCACTAGCCAAAAAAACGGAATAAGGAGCAGTTAGACTCTTGGGAAGTAGTGGAACATCCCACCCAATCCTGTTATTTCTCATCAGTCTAGCTCAATGCACTTTTATCCTCGGTGGTTGGTGTTTATTTGAGATTTTTAGCTTCTTGTTTTTTAAGCAAAGTACCCATTTCAGTTGTTTGAAAAGTGGCATATTTCAAAACCTAAGAAAGGGATTTTTTCTATAGATCATTCACAAACCTTTCTATCAGACTGAAGAAGTCTCATCGAGCGCAACAAAATTGTACCTCACATTCAGTCCTTAATTTTTTACTGCAGAGATTAAAGCCAGACTATGTTACTTTTGACAAACAAATAATACTTTATTACAAATCATTCAATATACATTTGCTATAAAAGGCATATTCATTATTCAGTTCACTGGAATAATGAATTTATTAACTACTTTTTAGCATTTACCTTAGCTAGACACATGGAATTAGTGATGCTAATTCTTGCCTCGTCTGTTATGACAAATAACTTTGGTTGCCAACATTAGCAAATGTCAGGTCATGTTTGCTTTAAAAGGCAGTTATTCAATTCAGTTACTGTAAGAGCATTATAGCTAAATGCCAAGCTATTTGTTTTTTAACTATGGTTTAGCATTTAGCTAAAGCAGAGGATTAGCATAACAGTAGTTAAGCATTATGCAGAGGCTGTTGTTTATCACATTTGACATAGTCTTACTTCAAATCTCAGTTTACAACTATACAAGTTAACTGATATACTTAGTACTGCTTTGTTTTTTTAATTTCACTTCTCATCATCAATCAGTTATTTTATCCCCTCCATGTTCTCACCCAGGTTGTAGTAGGATAACCACAAGCTCTCGTCACACATTTCATCCAGTCCGACAAAAGATCTATTAAAAATATAAAGCTATAAATAAAGTAAAAGATGTTGTATGTTTTCTATTATCTTGTAGAAAATACTTTTGTAAGTATGTTGAAAGTATAAAGTATTTGCTGGATTCTGCTTCCTTTGACGACAGTGACAAAACAATAATGTACAGAGGAATTTGTGTTGACAAAATGTGGCTGTGCAATTTATGTACATTTGCAACTAGACCTATTAAAGTTTTATTTAGCTATTTTAAAAATGTTGTTGCCTCTTGTCTATCTCTCATTGTTCCTTTATCGTGATATGTAAATTAGGTTATTTTGAGTGTGTGAGCTGCATCTCATGCTCATTAAATACTCAAGCAGGCCTAGTTAGATGACAAGTAGCTAGAGACCATATGCTCAGACGAGAGGTCCAGAGACAGAGTGAAGGGTACGATGTGACACTCCTCAGAGCCTGGTCTCCATAGCGCCTCATTGGTATTCCCCACAGTGGAGCAGAAAGACTGGAAATAACAGGGAATTCTTTAGCAAGATTTCTCTTTCAGAATGAGCTGTTGTACTTTTCTTTAAATGCTCACACTTTGTTTCTAAATATAGCTCAAAGCCAGGCGACATGTATTCATCTTGAAACAGTATGTTCGAATGGGGAGTGTGGAGCTCATTAACAGCGGATCATTCTCAGGTTTATTAGAAGGAAAGCTCCTGTGAGGCTAATTGCTCCCTGAGAGTCACACTTGTTCCCTTTGGCCAAGTGGAACCATCTCTCTGGGCATTAAGGTGTCAGGCTAATGGGACACGAGAACCACATTAATATAGTAAACATGTCATGGTATAGTATGTCCAAAAATATGAAAAAAAGCGTCATATTATAGTATTTATCGTTTTTCTAAAAGAAAAATATGTGAAATAAGGCATGATATAGAATGTCCTGTGTTTTTTAATCATCAAAGTTTAGTATGTCCAAAAAGAAATGTGAACAAAAAGTCATAGTATTTGGATAAAAATGTTGTAGTGTAGTTTGCCAAACTTTTTTTTTTTCAAACATCATAGTGTACTATGTTGAATAAAATATCATAGTAATCAGAAAAATCTGGAAAGAAAAGGACATAGTATGTTGAATAAAACACTGAAAAAAAGTAATAGATTAGACTGTCTTAAAAAAATATCATAGAAATATGAAAGAAAGTCATAGTATAGTATTTGAAGAAAAGAAACGTCATAGTATATTTTGTCGGAAAATTGGAGAAAAAAAACGTCATAGTATAGGAAGTTGAAAAAAAAACAATAGTTTGTAGTTCATAAAAAAACGTGAAAGAAAAAGTCACAGTATAGCATTTTGAAAAAAAACGTCTATTCTTCTAATATGACATTTTATTTGTTTTAGACATACTATACTATGACCTTTTTTCATGTATTTCTTTGAACAATAAACTATTACGTTTTTTTTCCGACATAGGCTACCATACTATGATTTTTATTACGACATTTATCTGGTCATACTATGATGTTTAAAAAAAAATGTCGACATACTATAGAGGTTTCTCAATACTTTAATTTCCCCTCCTCGACTCCTCGACTCCTCGACTCCTCGGTCTGACCCGGAAATGGATTTCAGCGCGCCATGTTGAAGGACATCTCATTTCTCTAAATGCACACCTAGGATCGAGCATCGAGGAGGCTCTCTGGATGAGCTCTAACCGAGGAGACACTGATGGGTCCTCCACGGCTCCTCCACGGTTATGGCTAGAAAGGATCCGTCTAGTGTAAATATGACGTCACGTTCTCGTTGTAACTCTCGTTGTAATCGGAGCGGCTCGGAAACACATCTATAGCAGTAACATGATGCAACATACACATTAATGCAGCAGCAATATTGTATTATTATATTATCACATGGCTGCCACTGACGTACTTCCGGGTCATTTCACTTGGTTAGGAAGGTTCCTAAGCTAAATGGACGCAACCTTAGTGTTTTAAAACAGCTAACACGTGACTTTATGTCAGATTCCTGTGTCTTACGTGGAGAAACGTGTGCAGTGGTTTGCAAAAATTGCCATGTTGATTTGCAAATTGTGTGAAAAGCTGAAAACGTGTTTAGAGTTTTGGAGATTTGAGCCGATGTTTTGCTCTTTGAGTGTCAGTTAAAATAATTGTGCTTTATTTAGCATTTTAGTGTGTTAGCAATTGAGAAAAACTGTAATATAGTAGGCCTATATCAAAAAATATGAAAGAAACAGTATGTCGAAAAAAAACATTGTTCATAAAAAACCTGACAAAAAAAGGTCATAGTTTAGTATTTGGAAGAAAGCGTTGTAGTGTAGTATGTCGAACAAAAATGTAAAACGAGTAACGACATAGTAGGCTATAGTATGGTTGAAAAAAACATGTCGATAAATACGAAAGATACTTCCTAGTATAGTAGGCCTATGTCAAAATGTGGGAAAGAAAGTCATACTATATTGTTGATAAATATGAAAAAAAAGTAAAAGTATAATATGTCAAAAATAATTAAAAACGTCCTAGTATGTTGAAAAATATGAAATAAAGGTCATAGTATAGTTTGACGGAAAATATGAAAAGAAAGTCATAATATAGTTTTTTGTTTTTTTTAACATAGTATGTCCAAAAAATGTCATAGTATTGTGTGTCGAAAAATGTGACAAAAAAATCATAGTATGTCGTAAAAAACATAATAGTTTAAAGTTCATAAAAAAAACATGAAATAAAAAGGTCTTAAAAATTCTAAACGGCAAAGTAAAGTATGTCTAAAAAAAAATGTCATAGTATACCGAAACGTTTTTTTAAACATGTATGTCCAAATAAACGTCATAGTTGTGTATATCGAAAAAAAAGGATACATGATTAGCAACATAGCTGGTGAATAAAGAACAATAAAGAGGTGTGTTTAGTTTTTTTATAATAAAAAGCCAAAGTTAAACATAGTTCTTTCAAAAATAAATATACACACACCTTCAGTTCAAAGAGCAAAATTACTTTTATTATTTTGCAGTGCTATGAATACATTTCATTCATATGATCAATCACTGTTAATAACCTCATATCTACTTCATAGAAACAAACATACTGCAGAGAATGTTAGTCCTACAGTACGCATCGTGGAAACATTCAACACATCATGTGTTAAACAGGTTCCTGCTGCATCTGCTACAGTTTGATTGTTCTTTAGTGCAACACGTCACACTTCATTGTCAGTCTGCATGTGACAAATGCATGTAAAAGAAACAAACGTACAATTCAAATATGAATGATCAGTGAGTCGCTGTAGTGTAAATAACTTAAAATAACAGCCATGATCGTATTGTGATGTTGTGAGGAGCCACTATACACAGGATGAGGTTTTACTACAAAAAGCTATCCGATTGATTAATAAACATTGCATCTGGTTTAATTGTGACAATTCCTGCCATGCAACAATCAATTCCCAAAAGCAACTGTGTGCCTTCAGAGAGAGAGCATCCTCACAACTGGAGGTCTGAAGGCTGCCTGACTGGAATAGCTGCAGAAAAAGAGGATAAGTGGTGGCATGGCCTTTTCCCTTTGAATACTTATTCACTTAACTCATCACTAACGGGCTCACGGAGCTGAGCCACGGCTGTAAAGAAGCTTTCATCATCGAGCCAAACACAAATAAATACAGTACACACACACTCTGACACACCACACACACACACACACACACACACACTCTGACACACACATTGTGCTCACACAAATGCTCGGTCACCCTCTCATCCATCTCTGTGCAAATGTCATAGAGTTGTTGTGCAAATTCAAGAATATAAGGACACTCCCTCACACCCAGTTATTGTGGGTGAAACTAAGGATGCACGATGTACGGGGGACGATCAATCATCAGCCAATCAGGGGAAAGGTTTTAGCTTTCTGAAGGAGAAGGAGCAGAAGAAGATTTGCCAGATTACATCAAAGCATTTCATTTAAATTCTCTGGAAAAAGTTAAAAGTATGTTTTTTTGATGTACTTTTGTCCTTAAAAAAACAAAAGTACATTTAAAGTGTCAAACTGTTAGTGGAGTTAATAATAGTGATGTTAGATTTGGTTTAATTTTAAATATGTTAAAAATACATCTTAGCCTTTCTTCAGGTTTGCATATGAAGTTCTTTTAAAAATACAAAAATGTGAATATTGGCTTCGGCTGTACGAAGCATAGATTTGTGGGTTATCTTCGTGGGCTGAAGATGATTCAAACCGTGCATCCCCATTGAGAGTAAAGCTGGAGCGTCTCGGGTTAGTCTCAGTGAGAGGTGAAGGGAAGCGAATAGCTGCCCTGTAGAATCAGTACATTTAGTGAACGCAGCCCCTCCTGACCAGACCACACTGTTCATATATGATGTCAGCAGGGGGGGGGGGAAGAAATGCAACAACCTTCTGGAATTCCATGTTCTATTTCCTCTCCAGCTCTCCCCCCTGCAGACCTCCCCCCTCTGGAGAACAAGCAATCAGGCTGAGAACGGTGCTCCCGCAAAGTGAGCCAGCAGGGGTCCTCCTCTCATCTCCCATCATGCACTGCTTGTGGGAGCTGAGAGGAGGGGATGTTGCAGCTCCTGGGGAGAGGGCTACAGGCGTGGTTTGGGTGTGGACCTCATGCTGGAGCCCCCCCCCTCCCTCAGTTCTCCAGGTTGGCCCTGAGAGAGCGAGGCTTGAGTCTCTGGTGCAGCCGGTAGTCTTGGCTGGTGGCCCGGCGCAGGGGTCCGGGGGAGGAGAGCTGGGGGTGGGGGAGGGTCTGAGTCCTGATGGAGCGAGGCAGGGCCCTGCTGCAGCTCACCGAGCGCCTCTCCTCTCCGCCCGGGGGGGGGGTCTCCAGCTGGGCCTCACACAGCTCCAGCAGCGAGGCTACCTGCTCCCTCAGAGGCTGGGACTTGAACCTGCGAGCCGCCAGGTAGAAGAAGGCCTCCACAAAGGCTTGGAGTCCCATACCTGCAACACAGTGAGGTTTAGAGCAGTCATTCAGAGGAGAATCAGTTAGGACAAAGCCAATAGTATGTCTTGTGTATGGACTGAACAAACTAAATGTCACATGATGTTTATTTGAGCGCTTTAGAGGTGCGTGTAGGACGAGTGTCTTTCCTATGGACAGAACGAAGCTAGCTTTTGTCCTTGTTTCTAGTGGTTGAGCTAAACTAAATGGTTGCAACCCAGACCCTGGTTCTGCTGGAGGTTTCTGAGCTGTCATTCCATGTTACTGTCACCAAGTGTTCGCTCATGGTTGGAATTGCTGTGTGTCAGTAAATAATGTCTGGACTTGCTCATTATGAAAAGTTCTCTGAGAAAACTTCTTCTATAAAATGTCAAAACAGAGAATTTCCATGCAAGTCCAAGATGTTGGTTGTTGTAATACTCATGTTGGCCACAAGAGGCTACAGTGGATCACTACCCCTAGTTCGAATTAGGATGAAACCATTCAGGTTGACATTTCTTCATGCTCATGTTATGTTACATAACTGTCCATTTCACCTGTCAATGATATAATAGAGGACCAGGTTTCTTTCTCATGGCTTCTGTAGATATGAACTGTATGTCAACACAAAGGTAAGAATCATCCAAAAGAATACAAAACTAGTCATAGTATGTTGAAACAACATGGCATGGCTTAGTATGTCAAATAAAATAACGTCAGAAATATGCAAAATGCCTTTTGAATTGTCATCAAACAATTGCCAAAGCTCTGATAATTATTCCGTACTTTAGCCTCTGTTATTGTCGATGAAGAAGAGGAAGACATTAATTGCAGGCAAAAAAAGAAAATGAGAATAATGAATAAAGATGCCGAACCACAGAGGAGCGACATGGTGAGTGTTTTGCTGTGAATCCAAACTGCTACAGATCCCAAGAAGCGAGCATTTTCCTAAATTCCTTCACGTGTCCTTTCAGAACTTTGCTGCATATCCCCAACATAGAAAAACATAGTGTTTCCTCTTATTGCTTCCCCACAAATCCTCCAAAGCACATCCAGAGAAATAACAGCGCCCGACACTCGAGTCCCTCTGAATACGTATGAGCTCATTCTGAATTCAGCCCACCACCTCCTCCGTACAGACCCTTCCATCCTTGTCCATGTGATCTCCATCCATCCGCTCCGCCTCGCAAACATTCCTCGCAAGGTGCAACGTCTGAATAATTCATGTCGGAGAGTCTCTTGGCTGTCACATTGTGATCTCAGCTCATTTACGCTAGCGCACGGTGTCAGAGGGAATCTGACAAAGAATGACAAGCAATTATCTCCAAGCACGTTATTTACTCCGAGTCAAGGATATCAGGCTCTCTGTCCTTAACATGTTGTTCCTTTGGAGGGAAAAGGTTGTTTTTGCACACATGGCTAAGTGTCCGTGTGTGTGTGTGTGTGTGTGTGTGTGTGTGTGTGTGTGTGTGTGTGTGTGTGTGTGTGTGTGTGTGTGTGTGTGTGTGTGTGTGTGTGTTTTACCTGCTTCTCTAGAGTCAGCCATTGTCCCTGACCAGCGGCGTGTGATGTCTATGTACAGGATGTCCACTGAGGCCATGGAGAAGTTACTGTTGCTCAGCTTGCAGGTCCTGAAGACATGGTGGAATCAAACATGTCAGTCTACACGTTTCAAATCCAACTGAGATGATTAGTAGCTCATCCCCTTTGCAGTCAAACATATTGTCAACAGCTCAAGGACATGGAGGGATTTCAAACCAGTCACAATCACATTATGATGGAATACAGATGCAAACATCACACTACTATTTGGGGTTATGCAATACCTAAGGAATGCAAAATGATACACTTTAGGAATAAATATGATTATATGAATTATATTGATAGATATTTAACCAAGATATTATTGATCACAAGCAAGAATAACGAGAAATTGGTATGAAACTGAATCCCCTACAGAAATTATTTTAAAGAGATAGCTGCTAAGAATAAAGTCATCTATCATCTTAGAGTGAGAGAACATGTTTTTTTTAAAGAAATGTATCATTTATCACACAGTTGTATGCAAAGACAAAAACTCAATAAATATTCAAGTTTCAAAAATCAAGATGTTTTTAAACCAGTGTTAATTGTTTTGTACAACTCTAAACAAGGAATGGATCTATAGAACTGTTTTATGTAAATAATATATCATTACATATATATTCAATTTGTAACTTTTTCTTGAAGAAGAACAAATGATTTATACATCAAAAAATAATGCCATTCAAGATCATCTTTATTTGAAATAACGGTCTGCACACTGAACACAATATGATTTGAATAATGTCTAAATCATTGATCGTTGAGAAAAGAACACTAGCTCAGAGGACCTTGATCTTGATTGACAATCAGGAAGTCATGGAACCGCTATGGCAGAAGCTAACGGGGACCCAATAGAATACATGGATGAGCTGTGTACCTGATGAAGGTCCTGAAGGCGGTGGGGCCCAGCCGCATGTTGCCTTTGACCCCCAGGAAGCGGATGAAGAGCGCGGCGATGCGCTCCACCAGCCGCAGGTAGTTGAACTGTTTGGTGTATTTGGGGTAGACCTGCTTCAGACACAGAGAGGGCAGAGCTCCTTCATCGAGGCTCCTGTCCTGTGGCTCCGCCTCCATGGGGATCTCCTCCCCGTGGTCCAGCCCACCCGCCCTCAGGTTGGAACTATGGCAACCAAATGGTAGGAGGGAAATGAAAAGAAAAACATATTATATTCAAAATGTATTGAAAAAAGAAAGCAGTTGAGCGAGCATGTGGACTAAGGACGACTAAAGTCCCTACTTTAATGCTCTGGGCCTTCCAGGAGAGAAGCTGGAGAACAAAAAGCCACCCAGAGTTCCAGGTCACCTGAGGACGGACGTAAAGCACAGAGATTTCCTTTTGAGTACGCACTTAGCCTGGATTGGCGGGGAGAATAATGTCTTCCCACTTCCTCCCTGTGCTCACATTCACAACATTTAATGCAACGGTAGACACATCTACACGCGACATGTTTTGAATGCTTATAAAGAGAAAGTTATTACTCCTCACAAAGTTTGGAGACTTAGTTAAGTGAAAAAGGAAGAGTACTTATGATGGGAGTAGCAGTCTGACTGGTGAGAAACGTCACACCCAGGAGAGCCTCTGGAGAAGCTACAGAGGATCTCCACAGTGCTTTCATTCTAGTATATATTCTATAGAAGACATAAGTCCTGAGCATGAAAAGAAAGAGAGCAATATTGACCATAACATTGCACATGCTGATGGTGGACTCATTTAGCTTCAGATAGATGCTATGAATGCTGATGAGGCAGAATATAAAAGCACTTATGTCCGTTTGTATATTCAGCATCACTGTCACAAGAGATGGCTTTCCATGCGAATGAGGAAATCAAATCTGGTCTTAAAATCTTGAAAGAAAAGTTTTGAAAATGTTTTTATGAGACAGCAGATGCATTCACGATCCCTAGTGAAAAGGGAGCCCTGAGGAGCTTCTCTTGAAACAAAGTCCTGCTTGAAAGTGTCTCTCCTAAAGGCATTGTGTGCATTGCCAAGACCTTCAAAACGTGTTGAGTAAAGGTTCATTCAAAACTGGATTGTTCAAAGTTCAATTATGATATGCTGTGGAGGTCAAGGGTATCAGTTTCAGTTAAGAAAAAGTCTTGAAACAAAATAAATGTATGTTTTATATTTAGCCAAAAGGTCACAAAAAAAGTTTTTAAAAAGAAAACACATTATTCAATAATAATTGAGTAAAATATATGTTTAAGCATCTTATTTAGCCATTAACATCTTTGTTTTGCATTTGTTTTAATCTTAACTTTTTGTAAACTTAGTTCATAATCTCATTTTGAAAAACACTTCTGAACGCACCCTACTTCTTTACTTTATACATTCAACGTGCAGTTTTAGAATCATTTAGAGTAATATAATATGTTGGTTGGTTTCTGACAGACGGCTCTGCTCACAATCCTTATAGCTTTTATCTGTAATATAGCATTAGTCATGGTTTCGCATGCATTTCCCCAAACGTCCCCACAGTAGGTACAGGGTATATGCAGGAATCCTGAAGTCCAATGTAATTCCTTTTAAGACCTTTTCTACTAAGACCCTTTCCATACATTTTAAGACCTCATCGCCACTTGGAGTTTTAACCGGTTCCATTGGCAACACACTTTAGCTCACATTGACTATATACAGTATTGATTGTCCTTCCTCCTTATCTTCCAACCATTTGAACGCAGACTTGCATTTCCCCATAACGATGTTGTTTAACAACCGGCGTAAACGGACCTTCGTGCGCTATCGAGCAGTGAGCGTGTGATGTCCTGTTCAGATGACGTCAAACCCAACGGGATGCCATAAATAAACTACTGTAATTTTCGGACTATAAGCCGCGCCTTTTTCCCTATTTTTCGACGNTCTCTCTCTCTCTCACACACACACACACACACACACACACACACACACACACACACACACACACACACACACACACACACACACACACACACACACACACACACACACACACACACACACACACACACACACACACACACACACACACACACACACACTGCAGGAATCCTGAAGTCAAATGTAAAACCTTTTAAGACCTTTTTTAAGACCCTTTTCATACATTTTAAGACCTCATCGCCAATTTGAGTTCAAACCATTTACCTTGGCGACACACTACAGTATTGATTGTCCTTCCTCCTTATCTTCCAACCATTTGGACGCAGACTTGCATTTCCCCATAACGATGTTGTTTAACAACCGGCGTAAACGGACCTTCGCGCACTATCAAGCAGTGAGCGTGCGATGTCCTGTTCAGATGACGTCAAATCCAACGGGATGTCATAAATAAACTACCGTAATTTTCGGACTATAAGCCGCGCCTTTTTCCCTATTTTTCGACGCTGCGGTTTATATAACGGTGCGGCTAATCTATGGATTTTTACAGCTAACGGCCAACACCTTTAACTCTATGGGCTCTATGGCCGGTCCGCGGACCCCCACCTTTAAGCGGCTGGTTCCAGCAGGAAAAGCTGGAGGCCGGAAAAGAGTGAGACAGGAAGCGCGCAAAAGTAAAAGTGGAACCGAGAGTGGTATGCCGCTGCTGCGATTTATATTCAGGTGCGGCTTATAGTCCGAAAATTACGGTACACAGAATCAGACTAAACACCTACGCAATGATTACATTCAGGCAGACAGTAGAATACAACCTCTTTGGACCATTTATACACTTACTGAAAACAAGCTACAAAATGTAATACCTTGGAAAATGCAGTTTAATACTTTTTAATAGCCTTCATTTTTGCTAAATTGATTTATCAACTTTTAATACTTTTTAAGACCCCGCGGACCCCCTGGGGTAAAGTATGGAACGAAACATAAGTAATGAATTTATATTGAAAACGTCTAATTCACAATAAGCATGTGATGAGCATCAAGTCTGATTCGTCACAGTCCCACTCATTTCCACTTCTTTAAGGTCACAATGCATTCCTCTGAGCGATGCGCTCTGCACCGCTTGCCTGTGTCTCGCTGCCAGCGCTCCCATTGTGCTTCCACCCAGGGATTTACCTCCTTCTCACAGAAAATGAAGATGAGTCAGGCGTTCCTGCACATCCTCATCCTCAGGAATGTGTGGGAGTGTAGACTCTGTGCTTAACAGACATCTCCCGCTCTCTCCTGTTGGCTTTGCAGAACTTGTGACTGTAGGCCAGTATCAATTAGGCCTCATCATTTGTTTAAGTGCAGTAACTTTGAATAAATGCCATCATATCATAGCAACCTGAGCAGAGGTCTCATTAGTGAGAGTCAGTGACAACACCTGTGTGGGTGCGCAGCGCATTAAATAAACTCCAATGTTCAACACAAGTAACGAAGGAAAGGCAAAGTGGATTCAAACGTCAAGGGGATTCAGTGCTGCTGACTTTTAGGAGACAGTTTCTTTCTGCATGAATTAGTAAGCAGTGTGAATGGCACACAGAGAGCACTGCTGAATGTTTAATAGAATCAATCATCCCTCAGCAGCCAGAAGGACACCACCCACATGTATTTAGACAGGAGGGCTGGGCTAAAAACAGACACGTCTTCACCAGAAGCTGACAGACAGACAGAGAGAGAGAGAGAGTGAGGGGAAGGTCCCAGCAGAGGGAGGGGAGAAAAGGATGGAGGCTAGGCCAGAAAGCAAAAGTTGGCAGGATATTAAAAAGACTCAAGGCGCCTGGTGCTAAATGCTAGCCGAGCGTACGTGAGACGAGGCTAGGACTAATTAAGCTGTCATTACACTGCAATTATGGTTGTTCCGGCCTCCTGGTGAATGAATCATCAAAACCGTTTCAGACTGTCAAAAGTCTTAAAGGTAGAATTCAGGATGGATTGGCTGAGTCACACCAAAACACAAACAGAACAAATTAGCCTCCCATATGTGTGTAAATCAGGTGTGTGTGAGATTTTAAATATGAACTTTTTTCACTTATCCCTACAGTATCACCACAACTACAAGAATCACAGAAATATAACGCATCAAGAAGTATAACATTAACAATCTACTATATCTATGAGTCACATGAAAGTGTTCAAATGTGACATCTTCCTAATCTGCAGCTCCCCTCGGCTTCTTGGAGCTTTAACACAGGCTCCAGATAATTACTGCAACTCTTTTGGTTCCCCCCCCCGCCCCCCTCCCTCTCTTGGACACATTCACAAATAATAGATCGCAGCCCCATGATAAAATCACCATGAAGTTATTATTTTTGCAAGTGCCATCTGCCCCATCTCAAGGTCTGATTCCTAAAAGATATTGAGCTAATTATAATGCAGCGCAAACACAACCATACCGTGTTTGCATCTGACTGCAATTATCCCTTTGGCAATAAGGGCCAAATGTTGCCTTCATGCCAAGAGCACAGTTGGCAGAACAGAAGAGAGAAATGAGAAAGGAAAAGTCAAGCTAAAGGTCCTGGCTGACGTCAGGAAAGGTATTTCAATCTGATAGTGTGTCACCTATTTGGGCTTTAATGTCCCAGTCTGTGAGCGCTGCTTCAGAAGCACACCTCCAGATATACACTGTATCATTCTTTATAGAGCACTTAACCACAAAGTTATTTTCAACATGAGGGAATTAGAAGAACACAAGCAATGTCATGGACAAGTGCACATGTTAAATGATTAAATGTATATTATTAAAAGAAGATAGACATGATTTGAAGCAGAAGTTAACACATGAGAGTTGGTGTTGCGTAATGCTAATGATGCTCTGTAATGTGTTAATAAGCAAATATTTGTTAACACAGAGTTACAAGATGTCGACATGTAAATCATTTGTTCACATCTTGTTTCTGCTGCCCCCAAGTGGCCCCACAAAACCTAGTAATGCAGCTTTTAGAGATGAAGGGGTTACGTGTATGCATTCAAATATTCCACTGAAATCAACTCAGTTAGCCTTATCGACCATATCATGTATAATTGTATAACCTATTATTTCTCTGTATGCAGATGATGCCTTAGTTATCATGTCCCTTGCACACTATTTTAACAAATGTGTTCCTCCAAATATCTGTTTGTTCCCACCCACACATCTCTCATACTGACTCATAAGTCACCCTCAGACATCATACACAGGATGAATGAGCTTTGTGTCACTGATACCATCACAGAATACATCCCCATTAACCTCTACCCCCTTTTCTCCAAAATGACACTTTCCCCCCCTTTTGTTTGCCACTTTATTTTGACTTATCTGTTTTATATACGGTCTCACTCCGTTTTCTTTATAAGAAAAACGGTTTTTCCTCAACTGTATCTCTGTATTGTGTGCCTGGTCAGTTCTCACCTCTCTTCCACTTCATCTTGACAAGTCAGATTCATACGTGGGTGACTTCAGTCTAAACTCTGCGTTCTGAGCGACTGAGTCCCATAAATCCCGCTGCACACCAGCTGTCAGAGACCACAACACACGTGTGTTTACTTGTGGCTGCACCATCTGTGCTGTTAACACATTGCTTAACCTCCAGTAACGATGTCGAGAGATTATGACCTTCGTGGAGGTATGTACAAACAGTGAAATGAGCCAGATGATTTAGAAAATCATAGGCTAAAAGCCACATTTTCACAATACAACAAATATTATTCATATTAGTCACAAGGGAACAGGATGAAAAGGGGGCTGTGAGAAACATGTTCAACCAAAGCTGAAATGTTGTGGCTGATACAAACATAGATATTTGAAAGATGTGTTTTTAATAAATGTCTTGCAATATTTATAGGAAATGTGAGGTCAAAAAACAATATCAAAATGCAAGTGGCATTGGATGAATGGATTAGGAGCCAGTATAAGTGTGTAGATTGGAATTAGTTGAAATGAACAGAATTCCAATCATATATTTGACATTGTAACAAGCTGACAAGCTGAAGGAACGGCACACCAACCTCCGCACTATGGGAGATCGAGCTTTCTGTGCAGCTTCCCCCCGGCTGTGGAACTCACTCCCAGACCATCTCAGAGCTCCTCAACCTGTGAACACTTTTAAGAGAGCACTAAAAACCTACCATTTTAACAAAGCATTTGGTTAGCTTTTTAAGCCGGTTTTAATAACCCTGCCTCTCCTTTTTAAAACGTGTTTTTAAACTTGTTTTTTAACCTGTTTATACATTTTGACTCTTGCAAATGGTTTTCTTTATCTTTTTTTATTATGTACTGTAGCACTTTGAGGTTTGTTTCAAATGTAAAGTGCAATACAAATAAAATGTATTATTATTATTATTATTGTGCTGGAGTGTAATTCATTCATACACAAGATGTGATTCTGCTGATTCTAGCTGGATGAAAATATAGCACCCCGGGAGGCATGAGGATTAAACGTATTATAGCCGCATTATATCGATGCGTTACTCATCATCATGAATGTAATAGCTAAGTGGGTATTATCCCCGAGAAGATATCCAACAAAGCAGATCAAATATCTGATATGGAACAAAATCTGCGGAGGAGGCAAGAAATGGAGAGAGAGGAAATAAATGGAGATGGTGGTGGAATAGAAAAAAGTAAATCCTCTTGTCATTGAAGAAAAACTGATTCAAGGGGTACAAAAATAAAATGATGGCGGAGGTTTATTGCCAGGCAGCACTCAGGGCTGGTCCGACGCAGATTGAGCCATCACGCTCGTACAGTTGTGTTTGAATCTCCACCTCGACTCGGCTGAATCACATTTGTCCATTTAACAGGCTTATGGAGAGAGCGGTGCAGAGCTCTGAGAAGGGAAGGGTAGCGTAAGCTAACACATCCTTAAAAATGGACTCTTTTAGAGGATGTTTTGAAGTGGGTGAAATGAGGTACTCTTGCATGGTCAGAGTATTACACATGGCGGCCAGAAGGCTTCAACTTGGAGAAACAAACAGGAGTACTGGCACTGACTGCATTGGTGCGTCCAAACCTTTACATATAGGGAGGCGTTTGGCGCAGTGGCCTAGTGCGTTGGTGTTCAGATCAGGGGAGCACAGGTTCAAACCCCACTGCAGTCAGCATGTCGTTGTGTCACTGAGACACTTCACCCCAAATTGCTCCTGTGGGGATTGTCCACAGTACTGAGTATGTACGTCGCTTTGGACAAAAGCGTCTAACAAGTCACATGTAATGTAAAAATATACAATCTATGATACAAACTAACCCTATCAAGCNCAAAAGAGCACCTGGATGTTCCACAGCACTACTGGCAAAATATTCTGTGGACAGATGAAACCAAAGTTGAGTTGTTTGGAAGGAACACACAACGCTATGTGTGGAGAAAAAAAGGCACAGCACACCAACATCAAAACCTCATCCCAACTGTGAAGTATGGTGGAGGGAGCATCATGGTTTGGGGCTGCTTTGCTGCCTCAGGGCCTGGACAGATTGCCATCATCGACGGAAAAATGAATTCTCAAGTTTATCAAGACATTTTGCTGGAGAACTTAAGGCCACCTGTCCACCAATTGAAGCTCAACAGAAGATGGGTGATGCAACAGGACAACGACCCAAAGCACAGAAGTAAATCAACAACAGAATGGCTTCAACAGAAGAAAATAGGCCTTCTGGAGTGGCCCAGTCAGAGTCCTGACCTCAACCCAATTGAGATGCTTTGACATGACCTCAAGAGAGCGATTCACACCAGACATCCCAAGAATATTGCTGAACTGAAACAGTTTTGTAAAGAGGAATGGTCCAAAATTCCTCCTGACCGTTGTGCAGGTCTGATATGCAACTATAGGAAACGTTTGGTTGAGGTTATTGCTGCCAAAGGAGAGTCAACCAGTTATTAAATCCAAGGGTTCACATACTTTTTCCACCCTGCTCTGTGAATGTTTACATGGTGTGTTCAATATAAAACATATTATTGTTTGTGTGGTTTTAGCTTAAGCAGACTGTGTTTGTCTATTGTTGTGACTTAGATGAAGATCAGAACACATTTTATGACCAATCTATGCAGAAATCCAGGTAGTTCCAAAGGGTTCACTACTTTTTCTTTCAACTGTATGTTTAGTATGGTTTTGGAAGTGCGCTCCAACATATTTGTTGATCTTGCTTATTGGTAAAATATTATTTGTTTTAAAGTTCAATAAATGGTCAATGAATAATCGTCAAAATAATCGTGATAACAATTATTGACCCAAATAATCGTGATTATGATTTTTGCCATAATCGCACAGCCCTACTCACCGGTATAACCAGCAAGAGAAAAAGCCTTTGAGCTCCATACTGTTTCAGAAATAATCCTTGATGTGGTTTGGAACATGATATGGCATTTGATCACGGCAGTGTTTCCCTGTATCCCGTAGAATTCTGAGCAGGCATTAGCTCCCCCTTTCTTTTCTTTTTTTTTCAAACTAAGGACCCCAAACCTGCAGTTCTCTAACAGGGCTGAAACAGAGGAATATGAGGGATGTCTCAAATGCATGATCTGTTTGGTATTTTGAGCAAAACACATCATATATGTTTTTTATATATTTGTATATATCTAAGACCCATAATATATGCCTAAAAATAGCATGATAGGAGCACTTTAAATTGCATGCACAGATGGTCAAAGAAATGGAGTAAAAAATGACATCACATTGCAAACTGGTAGTAATACTATGATATTTCCAGCAGGGGGCACCAGAATATCAGTTTTCATTCCAAATGTTTGCAGCAGACAAGACTGAAGGACAAAAAAAGACCCAAACCGCCTTCAACATTTTTTGTATGTCACACTGTCAACATTTACTCAAGACACATTTATTTACAGCACATTTATTTACAGCACCGTTGCAGTTCAAAATGCTTTACATAAGACATGAATAGCATTGAAATAAATGATCATAAACATGATAACGACTTTTAATTACAATTGAAATCGGTCATTAAAGAGCTAAACACAATAGAATATTCAAGGAAGCTGAAATGTAATAAGAAATGAATAAAATGCAGCTCCAAAAGTTACAGTGCAAGGCCTAATAATGATTTGATTTAATACAATATCTGGCATAAGATATTAAGGACCTATGATGGATTGATAACACATTTTATAAACCACCATAACACTTTTCTCACTCAATCTCAGGGACCTTTGTTTTAGATTTTTTGCAACGGCTTGTGAAAATGTGTGATTCAAGTCTTACCAGAAACTGTCTATGAGGTTCTTGTTAAACGTATCCTCACCCACCCCCTCCTCTGCTTTAGATCCGCATGGTGAAGGAGAACGATGCCTCGGTGAATCCCACCTTCATTGTGAAGCCCGATGGGGGCTCTCAGGGCGACGGCATCTACCTCATCCGTGACCCCAGTGACCTGAAGCTCATGGTGGGTTCACAGGCCAAACAGGCTGTGGTCCAGGAGTACATCCAGAGGCCGCTGCTCATTGACAAGCTCAAGTTCGATATCCGCCTGTACGTGCTGCTGAAGTCCCTGGAGCCGCTGGAGATCTACATTGCCAAGGAAGGCCTGACACGATTCTGCACCGAGCCGTACCAGGTAGCCATGACGGAGCTGTGGAGGTCCACAGGTTCACTCTGAAGCTGTTCATTTGCTTCGATGACATGAAACACGTACTTCCACTTTTATGGCATGTCAAGGAGTTTTTCTGACCGATTTGAGTTTTTAACCAATAGAGTAAAAAATAAACAATTTTAAATACAATAATTAGAAATGGTAAGGTGCCCCAGGAAAGACACATATTTTGGGGGTCTAGGGATGCACACAATTTTATTTTTGATTGATTTTTTCCACCTAATTGTAGAGAACATCAAGTCTCTCCTGAAGTGGAATTATATTGTTCCTATTTTGAATGTAAGATGCAGAACAAAATATGTATTTTTCAAAATGCACATATACACTGGGCAAAATAAAATACTTTAACTACATGTAAAACAGGCAATATATTTTATATATAAAATACTATTTTGAAAGCCTCTTTTTGCCTTATTATCATCTTGTGAGTCTGTTCTTTCTTACATTATAATTTTCTGTTTTCTTTTCAATCAGGATCTATGTTTAACTTGTCCACCATAATAGTGAGCTAGGCTTTTCAAGTTGCTGAATGTGAGAATATTCACAATTATCAAGATAATGGAAATGGCCCATGGTCAACCTATTGAGTGTTTTCCATTGCAAATCTTTTTTAAAGCGAAGTTGTCTGGATGAGCAGTTCTCGAAAAAGCTGCGAGCAGCATTACCTGAGGAAGAACAATCGGCTCTTTCTGAAAAGGAGCTTTTTGAACAGCACTGCAATTGTACATATAATTAATGCAACTCTTATTCTGATTTTGTAGGAACCAAGCCAGAAGAATCTGAGCCATGTCTTCATGCACCTGACAAACTACTCGCTGAACGTCCACAGTGGAAACTTTGTCCACTCCAACAGCCAGAGCACAGGCAGCAAGCGCTCGCTCTCCAGTGTGCTGTACAGGCTGGCAGCTAAAGGCGTGGACATCAAGAAGGTGTGGTCCGACATCATCGCCCTCGTCATCAAGACCACCATCGCCGTGGTGCCTGAGCTTAGAGTCTACTATCAGGCTGAAATACCTCCTGGCAAACCGGGACCCACATGCTTTCAGGTGGGGGAAACGGAACAAAAAGAAGCTTTGTGATGATGACTTTTCTACCTCCTTCAAGGAAGGGGAAGAAAACTCTAACATGAAAAGTAAATATAGCTGTCAGACAAATGTAAAAGCTTCAAAATCAAGTGGAGTAGAAGAGCGTTGTAAAAAATGTAAATACTCAAGTTAATACAAAATATGCATACATTTGTTTAAAAACTGAATAGTTTCAGAACTTCTTTCATAATCATCAGATCAGATTTCCACTAATCTCATTTAATTTTGCCCATTAAGATCCAGACGAGTTATACAGCTTGAAACTATACACACACATCCATATATTTCCAACACTTTCTTCGTAAATCTGATTAAAACATAAAGATAGTGGCTTTTGTTCACCTCTAGTATACAATCTTCTTTCTCTAACATATGAATAAAAAGAGATGTGTTTGTTTCTCAGATTTTGGGTTTTGACATCCTTCTGATGAAGAACCTGAAGCCAGTACTATTAGAGGTCAACTCCAACCCCAGTATGAGAATAGAACATGAGCAGGAGGTAAGAGTGAAGGTCATCTTCAGTATTTGTCATAGTTTTGTGATATTTTTGTATTCCCTTTGCTGTGATAAATCTTTATGTTGGTCTCAGATGGCGCCAGGAGTTTTTGAATATGTTCCCAGTCCGGTCGACGAAGAGGTCAAAGTGGGGGTGATCAGGGACGCTCTGCGCCTTATGGACCCCGGCCACAAGAGAACTTCAATGTAAACACACACACACACACACACACACACACACACACACACACACACACACACACACACACACACACACACACACACACACCACACCACACCACACCACACACACAGAGCTGTGCAGATCGGATCATTTGTGATGATCCGGTTTCATCATTGATCTCAGTTTTCTCAATACATTTCAGCCGCCTGTTCTGACAAAATCTCTGGAAACAGCTGGGCACAGCAGGAGATCAGTCCAGCTAAAGGCTGTATCTTTAGCCAACATTAAAGGCCATGTGTAAAGGAAGAGGCTAACCCAAGCAGCCCCCAACTCTCCCTCTTCTTTCTCAAAAGATAGTGTCCAGTATCCTGCCTTATTCCCCTTTGTTTTTATGATGATACATTATGAACTGTTTCTGCCTTAGGGCTATCTGCTGTTCTGTGGCCCTGAGGAGCAACAAGAACAAACATAGTTTCAATGTTTACCCTACGCATGGTCAAAAATATGACAAAATGTGACAGAATTACAACTGTTTAATTTTCACCCAGTATCTTATAAAATATATATTTTTCGTTAAAAACTCCCTTCTGATTTGCATGTGAACAACTTTTTTCAAACATCATAATGTAGTTTTTCTTTTCATATACTTGCCTCTATTTGTTTTGTAAATATTTGTTTTAACCCCAAAAGTGTATAAAAAGAATATTTGAACCTAGTTCCCACAATGGAGCCAACTTTTTCGACCTCAGCTTAGGTATACAACTTTTTGGAGTTATTTCAGAAATCTTTCAAATGTATGGCGTTTCCACAAATGTGCATAAAAACAGGTGAATGAAAACGCACATATTGGGTGTTGCAGTGTTGAAAGACTATACTTACAATGACCATGTGGCAGACATGCCCGCGGCACAGCTCAGAGTAGGAGGCGTACTGCATGTAGATGACCCAGCTGGTGATGAGGATGCCCAGCCAGGCCAGGAGGAGATACTTCACTTTAATGGCTGGCAGACGACTCTTATGAGGGTGAGAGGAATGGGATGGATAAGGAGGATAAGAGAAAACACAGTGAGGATGAAAACTGATCTTAGAAATAGGCTCACAACACAATAAAAGAACCGCTAGGTAAAACCAAGATAGCTAGATAAATAGGGGAACATTTTATTTAAATCACACTTTGTTTGAATTGGATGTCTTTTGTATTTATTTATAGTTCTTCATGCAGTATTTTTATCCTTTTATGTCTTACGCAAACTGCCTTGCTGCAGGAGCCTGGGATGTCCCATTTTCATTTAAAAACAATGCTATAGCTAGTTTGCATATGAAAATAAACCCTTTGTATTTGAATTTATCTGACATGCATTGGCGAAATATTCAGATCCTTTAAGGGGATAGTTTAGTTTGTATTATTGTTTTTTTTTTTATGTTTGTGTTAAATAAATTACATTTGAATAAAACAAACAATTTTTCCCTTTAAAACGTAGTAGAAGTATACATACCTATCATCATAATGTAGTTATGATGATACAAGAATCGTGTGTTTGCATTTATTTCAATACAATAATTATTTATTATCTATGACAATTGTATTATAATTATTATTATTGCTATTAGGCTAGATTTTTTCCATGGTTGCCTTGTGTATTGTTTAAAAAAAAGATTATAATAATTGTGTACCTAAACACTTTGACATAAAATATGGTACTTGTGTGTTATCTGTCGCCACTTTTTTTGTTTTTTTCAGACTCGCTAAATAACCCTAACCTCTTGGATTAATGTTTGTTATTTTGAGAAATGAAAAGGTTAATATGGAGGAGCCAGCTACCTGCTATTAAAAAGTGGCGACATGTAACCCACAAGTACCTAAAATATGTGTACGGGCCTACTCAAGTAAAGCATATCAAATTGTATTTCATTTGGTAGGCCTACTTAAGGAGCTCTATTAGCCTATCTAGATGCATATCCCCACTGCATATCATGGACCCTGGTAGCCACAAAGGCAGATCTGCTGGGCTCCATACCTGCAGCCCTTTGGACAGAGGGCAGAACAGCACCATATGGACCAGTCTCCGCAGAGCTCTCGGCATCATGAGCGGCTAGTGAGGAGGAGAGAGGAATCTGACCACTATCTGATCACATCGTCAGGGCAGACCTGCGCCATGCGTGGCAAATAACCAAAACCCAGCGCATCTGCCATATTATTTCCCGCAGATTTACTGCAAAAATGCCATAGAGCTGACGCACTCGGTATTTCGAAATGCTATTTTTAACACATCGTTCATAAGAAGAAAACCATATCAAGAGAGCGTCCTTGAAATTGAGCAATTTCACAATTCAGCTCAATATGGGGGAGAAAATCTCGGCTACATCCCAGATTTAAAGTCATCGTCCTCCTCAGAGTCCAGCGATCACCAACAAATCCGATTAATTCAAAAGCATCATCTTATTTATCCCATCAGATTAAGCTAAAAGAGAAAATGTGACATAAATAGCCAGTGGGTCTCCCGATGAGCAGTCTGTTTCCCAGCGACACATCACTGCGCTCCTTAAAGGGGAAGCTGCGGGCTCTCAGCCGGGAGAGAGAGAGGCTTTTAGTCCGCCGACACAAATCTCTCCTCTGCTTCCGGTCCGTCTGATTTCTCCCAGAGATCCCTTGTTTCAGACTATGGCTTAAAGTCACTTTAATATTTGTATTATTCTAAAAAACAATGTGTTCTATAAGATCACATTTGAGAATATAATTTACCATATAAAATCTACATTCACAGGTTTCTCAATATTGTGTAACTGAGTTTAATCCTTTAGTGCACCTGTTAAAGGTAAACAAAATGAAAAGTACTATTTAGGGAGGCCAGGGAAATTTTTTGCGATTTTTCCAATAAATGAATAAATATTTCCTATGGTAATTTGCATCCTTATAAACCTCAATGTGACAACTTCTGAAAAACATTTAATTTAAATAGCTATATAAAATATCAAAATGCAGTGCAAAAAAGCTTTGACCCAATGTTACTGATGCAGTGTCATCATAAGTCATGGAAAAGAAAGCTTGTTGAGAAACGTATTAGGTCATTGTTTTTACAATGCAACGCTCTAGCAAACCGTGTCAAATACCGATTATCAACAAACCTCTTTACTTCTATCAGAATTTGATTAATTGGATCTGATGCCATTTTTTGTTAGAGTGCTCATCTTGTCTTGATATTTTTAAAAGTGATGCTTCACATTCACAATACAACCATTACAAAAATAATGGTTCGTATAGTTTAAAGATGAACAGTGTTATGACAAATAAAAGGAGCATGTGTTTTTGCTTAATTACCTATAGAGTTTGCTGTTTGAATTCCCAGTTGAAACATTGTATGTGAGAGTTCAGTTTGTGTTGAGAAATGAATAATGGAATAACATCAGTTGCATTGCTCATTTTATTTTTGTGCAGATGAAGTGCATTGCATCACATGCATACACCTGTATCTGATCCCATGGACAGTATGTTTCAGATGAAGGCAGGTGTCCATGGTTAGCAACACGTTTGACAGATCTGTTCTTTTTATGCCAGCGCTTCTTCTACCGTAGGAATTGCACCGGCTTCCATAAAGCGAGGTGATTTCTGCAGCAGTTGTCCTCTTTGTCAGGTGTCCTGGCCTGGTTCTCTTTGGCACTAGTTCTGGATCTACAATAAGCCCTCCCTTTGGTCTGTATCTGACACATACCTCATACAATGCAGACCCTTCTGAGGACTTATGCAGCCCTGTATCTGTTTTTACTGTAGGCCCAGTGCTGGTGTTGACCGTCCCTGATTCCTTTTCAGCTGCTGACCCTTCTTTAGGTTTGTTGTGGTAAGGGCAATCATTGAGACGGCAGGTATACTCACTCCGCCCTTTGGTTGATTTGTGTCCCTGCTCTCGTTTTGTAACTTGTGGAGGAGCTTTCTGTTTGATAGGAGAGAGTACTGGCCGTGCAGATCGTAGAGACGTTTTTTTGTCCTTTTGACGGGAAATCTTGAATGATTGTACTTGTAATATCTTAACTCTTTTCCCACCTATTCCTGGTGGTGGCGAAAGTGGAGGTGGCAGCAGTGGTTTCTCTTCAGACGTTAGATCCATGCTATCCTGAAAACCAACAAACGATGGGGATTCAGCTTCATCATCAGTGTTGGGACTTGGCTGTCTGATAACCACCCGTCTCTTCATGTGGGGAAAAACAATCTGTTTTACATTGCGAATTAAACTCCAGGAAAAAAAACAATAAACAATGTATAGGGGCAAGTGAAAATGTATACATTCAATGATCTACCTGCTGAAAGTATACTTTCAGAAAGTATACTTTCAGCAGGTAGCACTTATGTTTAGTCTGTCTATTTAGAAAGTATACTTTCAGCAGGTAGATCATTGACCCTCTTGCCCAACTGGGTAAGGAAAAAAAAAATGTTTACCTCCTGGTACCTGTCTTAATTTACTATTGTTCTTAAAACCTTAATAGCTAAAGAAACAGTCAAGGAACTTGAGTTGAATTTAGTCACTTACATGACATGGCTACTATTGAATGAAAACATCCAGTATCGCTTAAACTCATTGTAGCAGACAACCTTTTTTGCACCATCTCACCTCAGGGGAAGGTGACACCAGGAAGGACTCAGAGTATGTACTGGACACACTGAATGCAGGTGAAGGAGATTCATCTGCACATTTGAACTCCCCTTGCAAGAAGATATTCTCTGAAAAAGTCATTAAAAAAAACTAAGCACTTGAAGATACTCCAAGACGTGACATTACAATAATCAAAAACACAATTTAAGGCACTGGCAGACTATTCCAATAGCAGAGTTCAATACTCAAGAGTAACTTCATCAAAATGGCACTCTGACTTACCCCACTGCTCTTCATAGCAAAAGGCCACCTCCTTGTTATCTCTTGATCCGTCATCCCTGACATGATGCCTAATTTCATCCACATGTGTGGACAGAAATTCTGGGATGTCATCTGGCTGTGCAAGGAGTGTTGCCCTGGTCATGCACTCCAACAGACATTTAACTCCATAAGGTGTGAAATTATGAGCACACATCTTTTAATCGGTTATTATGTCCATGCTTTCCTGAAGCCATCTTGAAGACATGTGATTTGTAAATGATGCAGAATGTCTGTTACCAGGGTGATTATATTTTGTTCTATGGGCTATATATATATATATATGAGACTTGTTGGAGGGATCCTGAAATCTAATATGTGTATTGCTAAATAATTGTAATATGTGTGCTTATAATAAAACCCAGAGCAATTTAATAAATGTCCACAGAGACATAGGTTAACCCATTTTAAATAAATTACTGTATTTATTTAAATTGGGTTGAATACATACAAAATACTGATGGCCAAAATGGGTTAACCCAATTTAAATAACTGACTGATTCATTTAAAGAGTTTTACCTATTATATCCCGCAGTAGGGTGAAGAGAAGAGGGTTAAGGATGTTTTTGATCTGGGGGACACACACTCAATACAACATGGCATCCCAGTGGGCCATTGCCTTCAGGTGACGTTAGAAAAAAATACTACATCTCAGCAGAAACCAATTGAAGACGTACATAGTACAGCTTCACAATATGTCAGTGTTTAAAATCGTACTCTTAAAGCAAAAATTCCACGTTTAAATTATTTTTCTTAACATGTATTTATAGTAAAAGTTATATAGCAACACGTCTTTGGAAGTCGGAGATTATGAGGAGCTCAAAAGGCAGCATCAGCTGTGTTCAAAGCAGATGGAGGCTGGCAGCTCTGCGGCTCTGCCTTCTGCTCTGCTTCACAACACAGGGACGATAACATACACAGAGAGCGGACGACTAACTGTGGGCAACTCTACAAAGCTGCTGGTAGCCGCAGAAATATACATAATGCTACCTGTAAGGTAAAGTCTGTCATGGGTTAACGGGTAGTTACGCCAACGGCACAGATATGTTAGCTAAATGACAGGTTAACGGCAGGTTTAGCTATCTTCAATGAGCTGCTAGCTACAAGTGCTAACGTTAGGGCAAGTCAACGCCAGCTTGTGACACTCGCTAGCCTTTTTAAAGTTGTATTATTGTGGCCATCTGGCAAACGTCTAGCGTTATTTGTTCCCCTTACCATGAGCTGTGAGCCGGTAACTAGCCTAAAAAGACTGAACATATCTCCACTCTGTTTATTAAACGACCTGACATAATCAAATGGCTTATAGTGTTTAATGAGCCACATAAGCTAGCAATGCGTTCAACATCCTTCCAGAATACCGTTAGCTTGCCGGGTTATTATTGCACTGTGGGGCACAACTGTCCCCTGCTCAGCAGCTTCCCTGCACGTAGCATACCGCATTATGAGTGAGCATTATGTAAAAGTCAAGATTCACGTCGAGCAAATGAAATCATTCGGAGAGGATGCAGAGAAGCAGGGTGTGGATGCTGAGGAGGAGCAGGTGGCTGTGTCTTCGTCCCCCCCCGCCTCTGTCTCCCCAGACCTGCCCAGCATCACCATAGCCGGGAGAGACGTGTCCAACACTTTTAAACATAGGGGGAAAAGTCGAATCAAAATGGGGAAAGATGACAAGAACATTTGTGGCAAACACAGCTTGGATGTGTCATTGCATGGTGGGAGAAACGTGAATAAACTAGGGCATGAGCGGACACTTCACATCAAAGGGACTGGAAAAATACTGCAGGGCAAGAATAATGAGAATAATGGGGTCAGTATGCATCCTTCCAAAAACATTCAAGAAGCACGCCGTGAGGACGGAGTCAAGCTTGCAAGGAAGAGAAGGCCAGTGACTGTGGACACGTCCAAAGCCAAAACCTCGCTGGAGGCCCTGAAGTTGAGCATCAGGCAGCTGAAGTGGAAAGAGGTGTGCTACATGTCTTTATTTCTAATGATTTTGCTATTGATATTCATCCATGTGCTTTGCAGGTCTCATTCCTATGAAACACTAAGATACTGGTTAGAGCTGCAATGATTTTACAGAAAAGTTATCCTCTATTGATATTCATTATGATTTAAGTAATTTTCATGCATAAATAGTATGAAATGCAGCTTTCAGCCTCTTAAAAATGGAGATCTTCTGCTATAAATTAAATATTTGCATATAAACATACTTCTTTCTGCCCATCAACTACTTAACAGTTAGTCAACTAATCTATTATCCTTTTCTTTTGATATGTATTACTGAATGGGATGCAAGTAATGCCAGCTATCATTATTAACATGGTCTCCATTATGCATGAGAAGTAAAGAAGGGCAACACGATGACATTGACGAAGTAAAGTCTCTACTTGTCACCGGTGACCACGCAGTGACACTTAACCCATTGCAGGTCTGGTATTGGAAACAGTAGACCGAAGGCCTATACATTACCACGCTTTGTCCCCACCGCGCACCCCCGACAAAGTCAAGGGCGCTATAGTTCCTCTGACATTTTGAAAGTACCTGTCAACACCTTTGAAGGGTCCCTTGAAACTAGAGTAGCTTGTTTGTTAATTATGAGATGAACATGCGTCGCTTGAAAACCGTTAGCGATTTGTAATATGAAGAACTTAAAAGGGTAGTTTGGATGTTTTAAGGTGGTGTTGGATGAGGTGTATACACTGACTATGGTCACCTGATAGAACCCTACTAAAAAGACCAACACTTTACCATTCAATGACCATTTACATCCAAATAAGTTCTTCTCTACATCTGCAGTTGTTTTGGCCTGAGAAGGACAGCTGTCAACTGACTTTCAGCTTATGGCCCGCTCTCACACAGTGGGAAATGATTAGCTGTAAGCACCTCTAATCCAATAATACCTCTAGTCCTCTTTTAGGCAGAGAGGTTGGCAAGCCTGAGGGTGAAGATGACAACTTCAAGAGATGAGACTAATAACCGTGCATCGAGGGATGAACTTTTTTATTTGGATTCTACAGACATAGCTGACATTTTAAATGGTCTGCCATCTGGGCAGCCTTGGAGCATCTTTGGAAAATAATAAATTGTATAACTGAACATTTTAGATGCTTTTTACATAACAGATGTTGTACAACTTTAAATATCGAATGATTCTAATTAAAGAGACTATTAACCATCACACACAGCGCACACTGAAATGTAGACTCTAGGAACTGGCCCCTCTCCAGGGACCATTCAGCACTCAGTCCAGTCTGCTTCCTGAACCAAGTCCCTACGGACTGAACTACCTTTCTCTGCCGGCCTATATATGGTTATCAAATACAATGGGCCTCGTTTTATTATACCCTCATAGGCTTTTCTTTTGTTTTTGTGAAAGATCCAAAGAAAAATCTGCATTTCATGTTCTCAATTTTATAGAATTGTTCGTACTTGTTTCCCTAATATGAAGATAAATCCCTTTGTCCTTGTAAATTGAGAGCACATGCCAGTGGAAAATTGGTAAACGTTGTGCAAATTGCCATTCAAGAACATGAGACTGCAGTGCCATGCATACAGAAAATTGAAAAGGAAAAGTTTGGAGAAATAAGTAAAGAATGTTCAAGCGATTTGAAAGTGTGGAGCATCAAAGTCATAAAAGAAAAAAAAGTCAATATTTAGTAGTATTAGTAATATTCCTGGGATGCTTATTCAACGTTGATTTGGTACTTGCAGTAGACAAATCCTGAAAAAGTCTACATTGAATGCCAAAAAGACATTCAGAAAACTGGAAAAAAGTGCATTTTAAGAGGAAGAGCATTTGATGAACGAGGCCCAATGTCCTTGTGCTTGGTTTCAGACATCAAAGTAGCTTCATTCATAAAGTAGCTTAAAAACACAAACTTAGCCCACACATGATTTATTCCACAACACGGGGTGACCATGTTTCTATGTCTCCATTTGTGAAAAAGATGGCTATTTTATTTTCTCAGATTTTAGAAAATTATCTCACTTTAATTGACGTGCTGCTCTGGTGGGATCAGACCGGCAGAGGTGTGGCAGTATTTATAGCAGCTCTTGGCTGTGGAGCAGGTTTCCCTGTTCCACACGCTATGATGCTAACTCATTAATGAGGTGCTCTGTCACAGATCTGACTCGTAGCTGGGCAGTGGCTCGGGTCTTATGAGAACCGCTTTAAGAAGTGGTCAGAATGTCCTCCTGACCTTAATACATCTTGATCTAGAGCCCTGATGAAATGAAGTTAAAGATGGCCTCCATAACTAAATGATTCACAGCTCAACGATGATGTCTTGATGCTCAGATGTGGGCTGTGTCATGTTTTGATGATGAGGAGGTGGAAATCAGGGAGGACATCTTTAAAATAAATTATTCAAATATGTTTCAGAAGATTTTCAGGATGAAGACCTTCCTTCCCCATAGGCTGTAAAAATAGTATAAAAGACAGTCAAAAATGTTTAATTGATTTAACGTTTTACTGTGCTGGTTACAACTCTTGGTTATGTGTTAGCAGTGCACTTATATGATGTTAGCAGTGCCCTTAATTATTACAGTACTTTACATTTTATTTACTGGATATTTTCATCCAAAGCAACTTTAAATATTTTGGATATGTTGGTTCTGTTGGTAGTTTTCTAGTTGCATGCAATCAGAAGAGAGAAAGCTTCCTGAACAGTGCTGCAGGGTTGATGGTTTTTTGTAGGCCAACCAACAAGTTAGCATCGCCCTGGTTCCCCTGACATAAAAACAATGGGAGTTTTCCATTGGATTATGGATTATTGGAGATTCCCTCTGACATACTTTATATCATGGTGCTATGGGAATTGGACACACAAATGTGCTGCATATAACATGGCGGTCGCTTCGTCACAACAGAGGCCAGCAGGCTGAACAGTACAGGATGCCGGGTACCCTTACTACAATATATAGTATTATATTTACAGAAATGTGACCTGCCGCCTTCATTTTGTGTCTTTCTTTACATAAATGGGAACATTTCCAACATAAAGTAGTGCATACAAATGCACCATAATGCAGGAACTGAAGTGTTTAACGCTAAAAGTTTCCTCCCCCTGCTCATCCCCCTATGTTGAAATAATAAATAATTAAATTCAAGAGAAGGAGCACAGCTGTGCCTCCCTGCATGTTACAAGCAGATTGTACATGTGAGGTCGTTGTTAACCCTCCTATGCTGGAAAATACAGCCTCGCTCACTTTGGTTGAGCTTTTTTTGTCAATGACGCTTTCTACTGGCTCAAGATAGCATGTGACCACAACTCATTTAAAAATGCTGGGTGCTATTTCTTAGTGACACACAAACTAGCAGTGACTTTAGATAAAGATGTATGACTGTAATATTAATAATGATTTCATGGTAGCAGCACATGTGTTGGATAGTAAATGGTTTGGAGTGTGTGGATGTGTGCTGGAGTAGAGGTGCGTTAAAGACAAAAGCGGTGCCGTACGCCAGGGGGATCGCCTGGATCTCTAATCACCTCTCGTTTCCCAGCTCATCACAACAGAACACGCACTGCCTCCCATCGTACGGCAAGATTACCCCTGCACTCTGCATGACTCCATAAGGACAAGCACCCGCTAATGTCCTAATGTCCTGAGTCATATTACGGTTCTCAATCATTTACTGATGCGAAAAAAGTGATTTAAAAATAAAAGATAATATTCTAACTTACATGAATCAATTCACCTTCACCTTTTTACTTTTATATTATATTTTAAATAACACACTCTTTTAACATGTTTAATAGTATTATTGCTATCTCTTGTATTCTTTACTTTTTAATATAAATGTTACTATCTCTCCATGAACAGTGATATTTACCTATGTACAACTTGACATAGGCATTAAAATGTAAAACTCAATTTCGGATCCTTTTTATGTCCTAAAAAATTTCAATAAACAAAAATGTGAGAGAGAAGTAAACGTTTATCCTCCAAACCATTTTTTGTAACCATCTTTATCCCCCATGTTTCTGTTTTCTCTCCCTCTGCAGTTTCCTCTGGGGAGACGAGCGCCCTGTGATATCTACTGGCATGGCGTCTCCTTCCATGACAATGAAAATATTGTCTCTGGGCAGGTGAACAAGTTCCCAGGTATTTCACTGCTTCTCTAAGCTCCTCTAGAAGTAGAGCACCTCAAACCAAAGAGATGGATGTATTTCAGGCCGCAGTGCTTCATGTGTGCTCAGTATTCAGTGATCACAACAGCAGGGATTTAGTTAAACCCTGACTGATCCTCATAGAGCCAATGCTAACCTTTTTATGCCATGGCAATAATAATGACTTTAGAGACTCAGAGATCATTGTATTAGTGAGAAATGTACATCAAAATCTGCATCGATAGAGTCTCCAGGTTACTATGTATCTTCAATATATGATAGTTGTGTTGTGGCTGCATGATTCGGTCTAAAATGCTAGTCACGCTTATTTATTCGAGAATTTATAAATGTTAGCGACCGCTTGCTGCAGTTCTGCTACACATCTATAGATATTTCAAATAACAAGAGCCTGTTCCTCATTCACAACGCATCACCTAGAAAACTGAAGTAAAAATAAATGACTTCTGTTTGATTTTGATTAGGGCTGTCAGTCGATTAAAATATGTAATCGCGATGAATGGCATGATTGTCCATATTGAATCGCGATTAATCGCAAATTAACCGCACATTTTTTATCTGTTCTAAATGTACCTTAGAGGAATATTTTTCAAGTTGTTAATACTCTTATCAACATATGATAAAAGTACAGATAATATCGGCTTAATATGCTAAATTATCAAAAGTACTATTTGTGCATTGGAACAATGACAAATATTCTCCTGAATATTCTCAACAGAACAACCTGGAACCTCTCTCTCTCTCTCTCTTACACTCTCTCCCAACCCTGTGTACTTCTCTGCACTGAGCCAGTTGCTCAAACAGACAAGCCTGTTTACAGTTGTCGGCGAAATGCCGCTCCTCTGTCTTCATAACAGTCAAAGCATGAGACTGAAGTTCCCACTGTGGGTCAAAATAATGCTCTGTGATGTGCGGTCGACACGTCGGATGTGATCCGAATGATCTAACGCAGCCCCTCGTCCTCCACAATGTTAAGCTGTAGCCACCCATTTAGCTAGCGCTGTTGTTGGCGTCTCCCCGGCAAACTTTCAAGCGTGGTCTGCCGCAAGCGAGCGGCAGGAGCGGGGCTGTCAGCATCAGCTGTGTGCTTGGCTTGCTGTTTAAAACACCTTTTTCGTATCCATATCTCTCGCTAGAATTTCCCACCATCCAACTAACAACAACAACAACGTCAAGCCTTTGGGCTCTGAAACCACGGGGCGGGCCGAGGACAAATACACATGCGCGTTAATCGCATGTTAAAATAATTAGTGGCGTACATTTTTGTTTTTGCGTTATTAACGCGTTAACTTGACTGCCCTNCAAAAAGCCCGCGTTTTATGCAGTTTGTACACAACGATGGAGAAACTTAACAAGCAGCAGTGGTACCAGATTCCCAGTAGGTAGCTGGTCTCTTCAGTGGACCACTGCTGCTTGTTAAGTTTCTCCATCGTTGTGTACAAACTGCATAAAACGCGGGCTTTTTGTTGTTGTTCAGGAGTTGATCCCGCCCCTGACCCGCCTCGACGTAAGCGTGACGTATGCAGTGCTTTTGCTCTAGCCGGACAATTTTTTGGAGCTTGAAACAAACCGGATTCCGGAGCTAAGAGGCTGCTCCGCTGCGATGTGAACAGGAAAACCCGGTGCTTTTCAAGCTCCAGCTCCGAACCGGCCCTGAAACACCGTTGGTGTGAATGAGGTATCAGAGTTGGAGGTTGATGAGGTCCAGGAAGAGCCCGTTGACTGAATGGCTTTAGCAAAAATGCAGAGGATTGCTTGAAGGAAGATTTGGATTTTTCGATGGGGGTGTATTTTTGTTCATTTTATGAGTGGGGTTGGGGGGGATGAGTCATATTTAACTCAACATTCCTGTTTTCGTTCTTCAATGAAACAAATAATTGTTCAATAAAATAATTAAAACTTGTTCTGTTCTACTTTTTTTTTATAAATCTGTTGAAATGTCATGTTTTTTGTTTAATTTTGCATCGAATGTTTCCAAAATTCCCCAGCTTAACTTCCCATGGAAACTTTCAGGAAATTTACCGGAAACTTTCCGCACCTTTGCAACCCTAATCACAACCATACCATATTCTCTCTCTCTTCACATTTTGTAACTCACAGGTGTACAGTGGACTGTGGAAGGACAGACCTGTTGTGATCAAGTGTGGGCTTGAGGATCCGCTGAAGACTGATGGGGCTCCAAGCTCTATTCTGCGACAGGAGATGAGCTTATTTGAAAAACCCACTCGTGGAACCTCAATGGATGAATTTAAAGAGATGCTACACAGTTTCCTCAAGGTATTTCTTAAGCAATTACGCCTAAATTCATTGTTTTAATATTAATAGTAAAATATATATCACAATCAGGGTTCTCAACAAATACTTAAAATGTAAATATACTGTATAGTTAAAAATAATGTTTTAAGAAAATGTTAATTTTCTGTTGAGCTCACAACCAGTTGGAATGTTGTGTCATTGACATAATGTGCAAAAATAGATGTTTTAATTGTTAAAACCTAAATGTTTTTTTTTTTTTAAAGAAACAATTTAATCTTTTTTGACCAATTCTAACAGCCTTACTCACCTCCTTCTTGCAGGCTAACCTTGGTGAGCAGCCATCTTTGAACACATTGGTGGACAGGGTCATTACTCTGGCTGATATCAACAAGGACAGCAAAGTATCCCTAGCAGAGGCCAAGTCTATCTGGGCTCTTCTGCAGATCAACGAGTTCCTTCTGATGGTGGCGCTGCAGGAGAAGGAGCACACCCCCAAGCTGCTGGGTTTCTGTGGAGACTTGTATGTGACGGAACACGTGGGCCACAGCTCCCTCTACTGGCTGGAGGTGCCTCACTACCTGCAGGCTCTGGTTCCAGGGGCCCTGAGCTCCAGCCTGAACCACTGGCTCGCTCCAGCCTGGCCTCGCAGGGCTCGCATCACCATCGGCCTGCTGGAGTTTGTGGAGGAGGTCTTCCACGGCTCCTACGGGAGTTTCCTCATATGTGATGCCAGTCCTCGTCACGTGGGCTACAATTCAAAGTATGACTGCAAGATGGCCGAACTGCGCAGCGTGGCGTCTGAAGCTGTGGTGCGGGGGTTCATGAGGGGGCGGCGGTGTGAGACCAACGCAGACTGCACCTACGGCCGGGACTGCACGGCCACCTGTGACCGGCTGGTGAAGCAGTGTAACTCTGAGGTGGTGCAGCCCAATCTGGCGAAGGTGTGTGTGCTGCTGCAGGATTATCTGCTTTTTGGGGCCCCTGTGGACCTCCGTGGGGATCTGGAGAAGCAGCTACGCACCTGTGTGACACTCAGCGGCCTGGCCAGTCAAATGGAGGTTCACCACTCACTGGTGCTCAACAACCTGAAGACATTACTGTGGAAGAAAATCTCCAACACGCAGTACTCTTGAATGGAGCTTATCATCTACAGTGAATTATTTCATGAACGTGGTCGTTTTTGCTCCTGAAGCTCTACCAAATGTTTTGAAAGGTGGTGGTTATTAATATGTTTTCCCTCTACATTGACTGTGAACAACAGAGAGCTGTGATACAGTACGAAACAGCATTACAATGCATTATTTTGAGAAGCACATTCATCTCCTTGGACATAATATTCTCAGGGCGCTTGCCTCTAACTTTATTTGTAAAATAATCTGAGTAAATTTAGTTTTCAAAATATATAGAAGAGTCTTGTCTATCCATACTGAATGTCAAATTTGACATGGCGTGATGGTTTTTGTACAATTTTAATTATTGGTGGAAATTATTGAACTTCTTGTTTTTTGTGTACAGTCATTTCATTTCATTTCAAACCTTTATTTAACCAGATTGGTCCCATTGAGATCATATATCTCTTTTTCAAGGGAGACCTGCAGAGACAGTACAATATAAATGACTCCATGTAAAGCACAGATAAGATACAAACGATGGATGGAATAATACGATAGTACTGATGTGTGCCTACTGAGGTTGATAATGTACAGACTGGGGTTGTATATGATGATCATGATTATACTTGAATGAACTTCTGACCTGTGAATAAACATAATTTGGTTCAAATAATTCATTGTAAAATATTGAGACTCTGGTGAGCTTTCTGACCTCTTGGAGTATGTTTTGATTGAAAACTGGTACCTTTTTCTTAAATGGGTAATAAGATGGATGGAGATACAAGGAACAACTTGAGGTAATTCTTAATAAATTATTTGATTTAGAGGACCAAGGACATTCAGACCACTGATGACAGCTCTCTGTCACCAGTAACAGTCTCATTGCTCTCAGCAAGCAGTCACACCCAACCTCCCGCAGCACCAGTACATCTGCTAAAGTCGGCTAACTTAGATAAACTAATTGGCCTAGGATAAGTCAATTAAGAACGCCGAAGGAAGTAGAGTTCATGAGTTCGAAACCTTATTGCCAGCAACTTGAGGGGTGGGTATCAGACTTCTCCACTCAGGTTGCTGACGCCAAAGGGGGACCCGAGGAGCACGAGGCCAACACAGCGGAGTTCGTCCAGGCCTAAGTGGCTCAACCCCAGGTTCTCCGGCCCCCACCGAGTGACCCAGAGGACCTCTCATGCCGTCCGCCTAGGAGGAAAGGGGGACAACTGGTACCACTGGAGCCAGTGTGCGGTCGGGAAACCTCCCGCTGGGACCTTGGACGACATCAGGACGGACCAGAAGCCGCTGTCAGCAGGCTGGGCGACATCACGAGGAAGCAGAGGAGTCTACTTCTCTCTGATGAGATTCATCAGTTCCACCATTGAAGGAAAAGCTGCCCCTCCCTTCTATACCAAATGCTCTTGTCGGCTTGTGCGGAGGGAGAGGACGAGTACGATGACTCAGCCGACAAGGACGAATTTTTTTAACATATTTTGGTCTCCCTCCACTGTCATAAGAAGTTGTTATATTATATAAATATTCCTTGGACTGTATGAAACCTCAGTCTCTATTTTACGGCAAATCTCCGACTTGACAAGCGTCAGCTCTGCATGGAGTGCCGCTTAAAGTTAACAGATATTGTTCTAAACTGTATTAAAGTAAACATGTATTATTCTAAACTGTATTAAAGTGAACATGTATTATTTGGGACTGTTTTCAAGTAATCCTATATNTATATATATAACCTTCTCACTCACACTCACTGACCTAGATACCAGCACACACACATTCTTTTCAAGGTCCTTTCTGGGCACCAATATATCTGTGTACAATGTTTGATTGTCTGGGAAAGAATAGCTTGTGTGAAATATTCTTTGGGAAAGTAAAGGAGTGAATTCAGGTGCAAGATAAAGATTGACTCTGTCTTTGTTTACTTCCGAAGCTCTCACGCTCTGTTCAGAAGTAAAATACTTTTTCCCAGAACTCTGATTCGCTGTATTGGGCCCGACCAGAAGTAAATCCAACCAGTAAGAACACCTAGGGGAGTGAGCAGCCGACACAACTCCTCCCCACGGACTCTCTGATTCGCTTAGGAGTGAAATCGACCAATTAGAGATTTAAAAAATGGGGGGGGCAGAGCAACTCTGCACCCAAATATGTCTATGTATACTGATGTTTATTCATGCACGATGCCCCCTGTTTCTGACTGGTTGGTCCCGATATCTGTATCGCACGGCAGTAGAGCGGGGAGCCCGGAGTGCTCTGTTTAGGGGGCACTCTGTAACTTGTATTGTTGTTTTTTACCATTAAAATCAGATTATTGTTATAACTTTTATTCCGGTGTTTTGAACTCCTTCTTTTATTAATCTGACCAGGCTCATCTAACGGACGGCGCGGAGCGGAGGTGGGCTTTAAGCCACCACCACCACTGTGTTTGCTCCTACAAAACACAGAATTGTATATAGTCAGTTACCGTCTCAGTAGCATTATCCACGTCCATCTCATGAAAAATACTCCACTCAGTGGAGAGAAAACATCCTTTAAGAGACTCTATTCTGTCACTAGTCCAAACCTTTACAGTCTTGGTCTGTGGTTTACTACGCTTGAGAACCGTTTTGTAGGTAGGTATTAGATGAACAGTGTTATGGTCAGAGTTGGAAAGCGGGGGTTTGGCTCTACTCACTATGCGTTGTTCACATTTCCGTAACATTTGTCTAGAAT